TAGGAAAATCCATTTCTAATTTTTATAAATATATAATATAAATAATATACAATTAATAAAATATTGCAAAACTATGTTTTCTTGATCTTTGATTTAAACTATGCTGGAACCGTTACCAGGTGCCTCATAAAAGCACTCGCGACATCAATTTTGGTTTATTCAATAATGCAGTCAGATTTGCTCTTCATTTTAAATGAATGCTGCATTAAATTTGGAATCATTTAATGCCCGATTTTGCTCACCGCTTGCTCGTATCCTTGACTGGCAATTTAAGTTCTTTTTACGAAAACTGTCTTTTGCAACGGGTATTTTGAAAATTAATCTTTCAGCTGCCTGCTGCTTTCTTAGGGTTTTAGATAAAGAAAATTGTTTTTTTTGCCTTAAAATTTGATTAACTGCCCCGGTGCATTTTTACAAAAGATCAAACCATAAATTTGGTTAAAACTTTTTGTTTTGTGTAGTTCTTCAAATGTTCAAATCGCTGCTTGTCTGAACCTAGTAGTTAAATTATGTCTAAACTCGAATAGAGAGACAGCAAAATAGAGAATGTAATAAATCTATCATTAAGCATTTAAAATCGCGGTTAAAGGCAATAAGAACGGCAAATATGAAATGCTAAAATTCTTGAGGCAATGGTCACTTTCAGGATCATGAAAAAAAAATGAAAAAATAAATCACATTACATAATACCACAAAATTAACTAATGATAACATTTCAATAAATTATTTAACATATTAGGAAAATCCAGTAGATCAGCAAATATGAAATGTATAAGAAAATGATGATTGGATTATGTGGTGTCTTTGGTAATATGCAAATAACCCTTGCTAAAATTACTAATGCCAAATGAATCTCTTATTTTTCCATATTTTGTCAAATATTTGATTGACTTTCCCTTTAGTAATTTGGTAAATTATAGGGTTCTTTTTCTATTTTCAATTTTGGAAAAAAAGTTTAATTGAGGAATTTCGTAGTACTCTATGCATTGGTCACCACAATAATAAACTAAAATAGATAATTATACGGTATCAGAGAATGATTCAACTGTAAAGTTGTGGGTTTGAAAACATCAAAAAAAATCTTCTCTCTCTTCTTCTTCTTCTTATTCTTATTTTAAGATAATGTCTTAAAATTTTCTTTTTTCAAAGCTGTAGCCTAAGTTGTGACTCCGATGTCCAGCTGTCGAACCATCGTTTGGGGGGTCGTCCTGGAGGTCTACGGTTGGTTGGTTTCTTCTATTTTGTAATTTTGGGTAGGCGATTATCCAGTGCTCGTCTTCTTATTCTGGGCCATCTTATCTTATCTTATATCACATTGGGCTCTGATCTTGCTTCTCACTGTCTTTAAGCGTTTTTCCTGTAATTGATCTTAGTGTCTTCATTTAAGTTGTTCTTAGTAACTGTTTAGTAGCGGCTGTTTCTGCTCGTGTTTCTGTGGCGCAGGTCATAATAGGTCTTAAATACGTCTTATAAATTCGTGCTGTCTTCAGTACTTATATGTTAATTTGTCCACATTATGTCCTGGATATACCCTAGCTGCTGCTATTGTTTGTGTTCGAACTTCTTCTTTAAGGGTTCTTTGACTTGTGATTTTAACGCCTAGGTATTTGAAAGAGATGATCTGTTCTACACTTTTATTGTAAATCTCTAACTTACAGCTTCTCGGTTCCCTGGATATTGTCAGTCTTCGTTTTCTGGACAGAGATCATCATGGCTAATTCTTTTGCAGCTCTTTTGAATCTATAAAGTAGCTTCTGCAGATTGTTCTGATCGTCCGATATTACCCCGCGTAGTCAGCGTAGCAAATTATTTTAAATTCTTTCTTGCCCAATTTCTATCCTTTCCCGGAGGAGTTTACTTCCATGATGATCTTATCCATTAAAACATTAAAAAGTATCGGGCTGAGACTAAACCCTTGACTGATTCTTGTTGAAACTGGTATCTTATTAGGAAGCTTATTGTTTGCCTTTATAAAGGTGCTATTTCCGATATTTATTTTTTAATGACATCAATTGTTTTTTGATTTAATCCTATCGAAGGATTGCGTTAGGCCGATAAAGCACATAAAGGCAATTTTGTTATACTCAATGGCCAATCAATGGCATCAATTTTCCATCATTTGTCTTACACTGAATATTGCAATCATAGTGGATCTCTTTTGTCGAAACCCCTGTTAGAATTTTAGGACTAGGATTTTGTGAATGTCTTTGAAGGGGCACGGACATATAATACCTCTATAATTTTGTAGGTCCATTTTTTCTCCTTTTTTGAAACTTGTTCAAAAAGAAATTGTATCTCATACTCAAAAATATCCTCTTTTCGTTTTTTCTCTTCCTCCTTCCCTTCTTCTCTCCGTCATAATTTTTTCATATTCGTAATGATATTTGAGAATAGTCTCGTAAGTTTCACCGATTAGCAATTGGAGCTGATTTTGCCGAGAAAATACAGCAAAAGCGAAATCGACAGCCATAAATAACAAATCAATTCAGAAGTGAAATTCTTGGTTGGCCTATCAATACAAGTTAATGACAGGCACTTCTCTAGTAGCACTTCAATAACAGACACGCAAAACAAGCCTAAAATAGCATTAACGAACTGACACGAACTGTTTTTTAGCCAACCAAGCCCCCCTATCCAACTTCATCGCTGTCCGTTATCGAACATCGAAACTGTATTAATGAACCGAATTTCGTGCTATAGGTCCGATGTCGTGTTTCCCAAATATACAATCGTTATGCCAATGTGATGGAGGTTTCATCAAAGTTAGAAATAATGGAAACTTTTTGGAAATCGCCACAAAGCTTTTATTGTTTCCATTCATTTCTGATAGGCATCCATTGAATTACTCGATCTTTTAGTTACAGATTTGACCAATTTTTTATTTTCAGTTGGTTCATAACAGCATCAAAATGGCGTAATTGCATAATTATTTGAAAATGTAAATGTTTTGTGTGCAGAAAATTTAAAAAATTTTGGCTAACAATGGTTTTTATAGCAATGTAGCTCGGTATACTAATAAGCCATTTTCTGTAACTTAATCTACTACTTGTTTAGGTTTGTGGGTTTTTCGGTCATTAGATGGTGGCAAAAATAAAACACAATTTTTTCATGGGCCGACGTCTCAACTTTATTTAAGTCTTCCTCAGGGCTCTAAGGGGTTCAGTCTTCAGCTTAGTGAAGTTGAAACAACTTAAATCAATGACAATTACAGTCATTATTAAAAACTAAAACTTAACTTCACAATAGATCAAAATTAGATCGTGACAGACAGGGCATAAAGTTAAAATATTTAACATCTAACACAAATATATCAATTCTAGCCTTAAAAAAACAAAAAAACAAAAATTAAAATCGTCATAAGTCATACTATAAAACATATTTCCTAAGTACACTAACATTCTGGTGTATGTATGTATTTTATTATGTTTTTATACAAAAGTTTATTTGCTCCTATCCTTTAGGCTGTTTGCGTGGTGCCAAAACCAGTTACCCCTTTTTTTGAGCAGGTTTTAAAAAGGATGATTTTCCTTTTCAATGCAAACAAGATTCACTATTTTGATTTAACATTAAAATTGAACTTTCTCTTAGAACCCAAACCGTTTACAAAATAAAGTGGCAGAAACAATCAGAACTAACCAGTGCAAACGGCCAATGTGTTCACATCTTTAAGACTAAATATTGTGTTTTTACAAGTTTTGTGGTAGTTTGTAATGGTTGAAATTAGTTCAGTCGAGATGAAACTCGATAGATCGTTGGGGAGACTTGCTTTTTCCAATCATAAATTTATAATCTTTAACAAGTTTTAGGGAGTGTGTCAAGTTAAAAAATGGAAATAGTGAGGCCAAGATAGTATACCGGTATTTCACTTTCTAAATACCTAACTACCTAAGCGGGCCGAAAAACGCAAAAATAAGTTCTATTTTGCATGATTTTGCGATTTTTACTTCGTGGAATTAAATTGTTTTTTCGGAGACGTTTCGTTAATTTAAATTTTGTTTCTGATGAGTAGTGGGGCCTGAGGAAGCATTTAACTTACTAATGTCCTCAAATCGCATGCAATAGCTTCTGAAAAAATGTTACACTTTTTACATTTATTTTTCGTACTACTCAGTGAGAGCAAGGCTAAAAACACATTCATCAAAACCATGAAGTTAGACTGAAATACAACAACACAATTAAATATTTTTATTATGCGAAAAACTCAATATTCAATATTGAATAAATTCACTCTTTGTACCCACAACAAATAAAATTCTTTTAACATATTTTTAATTGGAAATATGGCGCACTGGGTTAACTGATTGGTTATAATATGAGACAATATATTGTATGTGCATAAAATATAGAAATCTGACCAGCTTTAGCGATAATTTATGTGATTTAGGTCGATACATTTTCAACGTTATCCATTTCAAGCATTTATATTTAAATTCTCATAGTGGACTTTCCAACTTAAAAAGTTCTTCTTCGATAAACCTTTCCGGATGACAGACCGTACTTTTTCTGGCTCTCCGTCCGATATTTTTTTTTGGCTAACTTTTGAGTGTCATTCTTTAATTTTTCTAGGCTTCTATCGGCCGTATAATCGAATTTAAGCACCTTGAAAAAATCGGAGAAAAAATGGTTGCTAAACTTTTAACCTTCAAAAAGTTAGCAGTACAACTTTGGAAGTTTTAGGGAGCGTATCATGTGGAAAAAATGGAAATAGTGCGGCTCAATATTAAATATGTGCGGAATGTAAAAATAAAATCATTTTAAGTTCAATTTTGCATATTTTTTCGTAGAATAAATTTGAAGACATTACGTAATCGTGAATAAGTTAATTTAGATTTTATCCCTATAGATAGTGCGGCCTGAGGATGTCGTTGACTTCAGTCCTCAAATCGTCTCCTGCAAAAATGTTGTTTCGTGCAAGTAGGAAAATAATTGGCTGCTGTTGTTCCAAAAAATTTTTTTTCTATTTTTCTTTCATTTTTCTTCTTCTTTAATATTTTTTTCTATTTTTGTCTATTTTTCAATCCAGAATGTTTCTGTTTCTTGTCTGTTAACTTACTTGCAGGGCTAATGGTAATTCTCTGAAAACATAAGCGTATCGTCAATATTTCCTATAAATAAGTATGCTAATCAAGTGTTCACCAAAGAACCTCAATCTGAATTAATCTGTTTGGGTGCTCAGCGTCTTTTTGAACGCCCTTTGAGGCACTTGTTGACTTTCACATTGCTTCACACGAGGCGTGGTATGTTTTTCGATTAACGTCGATGTTTCTGCACAGTTATTCAGCTTTTACTTTTGTTTCATTAAATAAATTTTTTTGTCCTTCATTAATTAATGGAAATACGTAAATTGCCTTATGAACTTTATTGACCAAATATTGCAAACGTGTCGAAAAAACTCCTTTCCATGTTACATTTTGGAAACGCTGTACTGCAATCGGCTCCGAATACTCCTGCTTTTTGTGCGTCTGAGTAAATTTCATCTAGTTCAGGATCAGGACCTTCTTTGCTATTGGGCCTAACATTACACAATCCAACATGAGAATTATGAATTCGTTTACATTATAACTGTGCATTTTTTAAATAAAGTCAACCACACTGATACGAACATTTCCATGCATACATTTAGTTTAAAGAAAATTTAATCAGGCTTTATCTGAACAGCTTTTACTTTATAAGACACAAGTAAGTGGGTGATAAAATAGCTGAAACCCAAATTAGTTTATCTTATTCATATATTCACTGCATCGTTCAATTAAAAATTTTCTTTTTATTTAGATCTTGAAGCACTTCAAATGTACTATTAATTTTCAGATAAGTGTCCAAATTCCACTTTAACTGAAGCATGTTATTGCCATTTACTTACGTGAGGAAAACATGTAAAATTTGTCCCAACAATCCACTTTCATCATCGAAATGCGAATAATATTGGTTTTCACATATGGTTCTTAGCAGGCATTCCCGTCCGTTGATATCCCGGCTTCAATGACAGAATATGTTTGAAAAAATTCGTTAAATATGCTCAAATATTACCTGTCTAGCATACTTTCTACACCATCATAAAATATTTTTCTATCGCTCAAAACCACTTCGTCGTTAATATCTCGAGTTTCTCTTGAAATACTTGGGGGATAGTTTGTGAGAACGTCGGTACTGTTTGGTAAAGCATACTGAAATTGGAAGTTCCACCCAACGCCCATTTCTTGTTTTGGACCCAATTTCCATGGTACTGCGAAACTGTAGACTGTCTGGAATTTTTTGCATAGTTATTAAATTTAGGGCTATTTTGAGGCTATTTAGGGCTATTTAAGGCGATGCTTACTTTGAATGTTCCTTGAAAAGGAAACACCAGATACCGTTTATCTCGATGAAGAATTTTCTCTCCATACAGTCCACTTAGTAGCATGAGCAGGATGAAACCAAGAACTGAGTTCTGCAACATTGACATTCTTACACTACCATATGGGGTGTCAATTTGAAAACTTCCCACCCTTAATATATTTATTGCAGTTGAAAATGTTAAAAATCGGAGACTCGTCAATTTTATTTGTAAGGGGGCCTCTTAGGATCTACTTACGCACTACCTTATAAGTTGTTCAAAATGTTGTCTATTTTACTCTTCTCTTTTTTAATCTCTAATATTTCGGAAAACTTCACCGGGAATTGACCGGCCTGCTGCAATTCGCCTTTTAAGATCATCAATTTCAGCAGGGGGTTTTATAAACAATGGACTTAAGATGTCCCCAAAGAAAGAAGTCTAAGGGTGTTCAATCCGGTGATCTTGGAGGACATTCTTAGGGAGGGTTCGAAAATGGAATTTATTATTGTTCACAGGAAAATAGACAACATTTTGAACAACTTATAAGAGAGTGCGTAAGTAGATTTCATGGGTTTTAATGTCGAAATTGCTCTTCCGTAAATCAAAAGTGATTTTTCTCTAAGTAAAATAAAAAGTAAAGTAAAAAGTGTTTAAACTAGATTTTCTTCCTGTTATTCATCGATTTTAACGGTGTGACTGAATCTTCTAATCATTTGTACCATAAGGCGACCCAATGACATAAGTTATGTTTAAACACTAATCTGAAACCCAAAATCTCAATGCAGGCAAGTTTAATTGTTTCTGTAATTTTGAAACGCGATTATTCGAAAACTTCTGAACAAAAAGCAACAAAGTAGTAACTATTGTAAATATATTGAATTTTATTAAACGAAACAGTGTGTAATTAATTTAGTTAGTATTGATTTTATAAAATTGTTATAAAAAAAACCCTGGATATATTACAGAATCAAAATATATCTTCATTTTATGGAGCAGATAAAAAAATTGCTTTCACCTGCCTTCATTTTTCATGAAGCTTTTTATTTAAAAGAAAGGGTAGTGCATGAAAATGCTGGCTGACTAATTTTGAAAGCTCTTTGAATGTTTTAATTAAACCCAATCGTCAAATAGTTAAATAGATGAAAGCTTCTTTCATGAAAAAAGTCCAAATGTAAAATGAATAGGTAGTCGGTACGTAGATCCGAGATGGGAATAATTTCAAAAAATGCATAATTAACGAGATAGTTTGCTGGTTCATATATTCTGGTGCTGAACGTGTTTTGCATAAAAATTAATAACAGTTTGAAGTGTCTTTGCTATATTGCAAGTTCCACAAAACTTTTGGTTCATAAATCAAAGTTGAATATTTCATCTGAGTGGAAACTTACCATTTTCCGTGCATAAATTCCTCTCATTTCATTCACTTCAAACTTAAATATTTTCCGAACTAAACTGTAACTAAAACATCTGTAGATTGCAGACAAGTTTTCAAAATTTACCGTATTAGACACAGTTCGCTGGTGTTTGAAGAACTTGTTAGGTGTTAAGCGAACACCAAATATTGTACCAGGGTAAACGTGCGAAGTGAGCGGTCTTTGACATCGGGTTTATCAAATTAGAAGTTTATGGTGAACAGAACTGGAACTTAAGAAGTAATAGAATTTGCTTGTTGGTAAAGTTATGTTTCCCGAAAAAAATGGGTTTTAAACGCAAATATGTTTGACAAAACAAAGGGGGTAAATAATTTCTGAAATAAATTGCAAATCGGTTCTATATTCTCACTTCTCATATTAAAGACTCAAAAGAATTATCAACTTAAAAGTCCTAGTTACATACTTTGAAGTATGAAGATGCTTTGAAATATTTTGAAGAACGTTCATACTTTTTCTTGTTCCACTTGATTGATGCATTTTGATCTCCTTTAATAACTGGTAATTTTATTAGAAATATTGTGGTTGTAAAAGGTCAAAGTTAAATATTACACACTTCTGAAATTGTTAAAAATCCTACATTAGCATTTATTCCATTCTATGATTTATACTGGGAACCTTGAAATTCTTTCCGCTCCTCTGTCCGTTATTTGTTTTGTTATTTGTTGTTTCCCTGTCCATATTAAAAGCCAATATTGCCACAGAAATACAACTCATGTCAATCCCGATTTGATTTATGAGTTTCGGAGACTGGATCCATCTATCTAGTCGACTGCATTTCTTGTTTGCTTGCTGTATTATTCCAGCCCCTATTTAATATTCGCTGAATAATGCATTTTTAGAAGGATAATACATAACCATCAAACGATAGTATAGCGTTTAATTATCGATCAAATTTGATGTTGCGACTTGAACCTCGACGTTAAATCTGATATTTTTAAGCTAATGTTCTAAAACATCTGCAATGAATACATTTTGATATTGCGTAGCCAGCGAATAATTTGCATCCCTAAGATCGCTTCCAATCGTTCATATTTCCGCAAAAAAATTGATGATTAGATCGCGAGGTCCTTCCGATCATATTATCCAAAAACATAGTACTGATCAATAACTGCATTCACATAAACGGCAACTTTTTATGGTCAAGCTTCTTGTTGATAGAAATTATCAACAAACGTGTGAATTAGCGCTAACATTTTAGATAAGCATTTGTCGAACCTTTGTTTGAGATAATGACAAATAATCCGAAAATGCATGTTCCCGAGAAAGTATTACGAATATTTTATATAAACTTGCATGCTCGAACGGTAGTATTTTTAAAATACACAATCTTAAAATATGGATAAATACTTCTATTTCAAAAAAAAGATACGTATTACAGATATTCAGGACATGTTTTGTATATGGTAAGAAATAAATAAACCAAGTTGTTGTTGCCAACCAAAACAATTGTTCGAAAAAATGTGGCACGTGAGTGATTTCTGTAAAATTTCGATATTGTTCATATAGACAAACGAATACAATTTTTAATGATAATGAATTGAAATTGTACGAACTTTCAACAAAAATATTCTCCTTCTTCTTCCTTCTTTTATATAGACGCATCGTCTGTTTGGTTCCGGTTTCTTTGAAACAGTTCTTGTGATGTTGATTGCTAACTATCTTGCCATCGTTCCGGTGGTCGACCTACAGGTCTTCTTCCATGTGATGTGTTGTTTCTTACAATCTTGGCTATTCGGTCAGGACTCATTCGGTTGACATGCTGGTTCCATTCTGTTCTTCTCCTCCTTATCCATCTGATTACGTCGTACGTCTATGTCTATATTTCTTTGCCTATCGTTTAGTGTGTGTCCTGTTATTGCTCTTAAGGTCTTCGTCTCAGTTGTTCTTAAGTTTCTCTTTGTTACTGAAGTTTCAGCTTTTGTTTCCTCGCCATATGTCATCATCGGCCGTGCACATATTTTGTATATTTTGGATTTGTAATCTATGCTTAGGTGTTGGTTTTCCAGGTGCCCTGATATTGCGGCAGCTTTTTAAACTTGTTTTCTTAGCTCATCTTCCAGAAATCCGGCGCTTATGATTTTTGACATGATTTGTTGTATAGTGTTTATCTTGATTCATAGGTTTTCTGTTTTTAAATTATTTCCTCATTGTCTATCTTACTTGCTCTGTCGTTATTTAAGTGTATTCTTCTAGATGATCGTTTTGTGTGGTATCTTGTGCTTTCTCCGGGCTTTCTTTGGCCGTGTGTACATTTCTAAAATATGGTTCCCACGTTCCTTCCGTAATTGTTTTCAGATTGTATCAATTTTATTAACAAAAAAAAACTCGAAAAGAAATTACTCAAACACTGAAAATGACAGCAATTATTAAATTTGTTCGATCAGTGACCATAACTAGTGCAGAGACTTATATATTTCGTTTTGAAAATAGTCTTTTTAAAAACGATTTTAATCAGGAAGTTTTACAATAAGGTCTTACTGCTATGGATTTTAAACAGAGAATGCTCTACAGACTAGGCTTTCCCATTAGGAAGACACAAAGTGTTGATGCAGCGTCCTCGGATTCCATGAGAACGGAAATATGTGTTTCCCTGGAATTGGCCGCTGACTTGGCTGTGTCCGTGGGAACTGTGGGAAGGTGTCTTGGGCTGATGGCGTAACTAGAGTCAACTTTTTAAATAAAAACCTGATTACGCTGGGCAATAAATCGATTTTAATTTGTTTACTCAAATGCGGTGCGTTGTAGAAAAAGGGCAAGAGATCTTTTGTCTTCCAAATTGAACAGGAACTTGAAATAAAAAACTTTTGTTTAGAAAAATCAGTGGCCTAACATTTTGTTTAAATGGAATTTAAGAATAAAATAAATTTCAATAAGTTGCAGAACAAATAATGACAGACAGTAACAAATAATTTTTACAACAAAAAATACAGTCCACCAATAAAATCAGTATAATAATGTTTATTATACGAAAAAATAATTAAATTGCATGAAGTATTCTAAAAATTCTCATGTTAGCTTTAGAGGCCTATATCTCCGTAGCCTTTGGAAACAATGTTTTATACAAACTATGTTTTTTTAAGGTCCGCTGTATAAATCCGAGAGCCTGCATACATATTCCGGAACGCCATGAATGATATTTTATTATCATAAATGCTAGAAGCAACTTGATCAATTAAACTATTCTCGAACACAATCAATTATAATAATGATTTTATTTATAATTTCTAAATTACACAGTTTAATCCATTTTACACCACGCTCTGTATGGATACATCACTTCAATTACCTTTAAACTATCATCTGCAAATCTAATTAATAATAAACTTAATAGCTACTAACTACTATCAACATATACAACTATAATCAACAATTCCCTAAACACGTACTTCCAATACATAAAGTTTAACTAAAAAAAATTTAAATGTTATTTTTTTGCAGAGCAAATGTACTGAAGAAATGGAAAATTGATAATATTCTAAATTGTTTTCAATATCAAATTTGCACCTAAGTAGCGTTACTTTGGCAATTTCCTCGAGAAATGCTAAATTGCGTTTTCCCTTGAATTATCGAGCAAAGCGAAATCAATAGATTAGAAAACCCGGTTATGATAAATGCGAAGGGAACACAAATGGGAAATAAATCATAAAGTTTCGCCGCCCACAAACTAACCAAAATCTTTTTCCGAATTCGGAAAAAGTCAGGGGCGTTAATAAACTTATCGGCTTCCGTTGAATCGAACGAACATTAGGGATTGTTTTCTTTAATGCGATGTACTTGGAATTTTATAAACGACGTGGGATATTCTGTATTATTATAGTGAGATAATTTTATTTAGCTTCAAATATCAACCTTTAATTAAAATTTATTTACCATATACCAACATTTATTTTCTGAATATTATTTTCATATAAAAAATGGAGGTTTCGGGCAAATTGTTGTTGCATGATACCACCAATATCTCAGTCAATTAAATAAAAAATATTCTATCTTTTTTACAGAAAAAGTATTACGAAACAATCGACGAGGAATACAACTTCTACTTTGAACGTCTATTTTGCGCCCCTACATTAAATGATGACGAAAGTAAAAGGTAAGAATATTTTCTTGTTCTCTTCTTGACTTTACCAGAATACAGTGAGCTGCAAATATGAGGCAAATGTATACAGTGTTCAATTCTGCAAAAAGTTTGTTATTTTTCGTATCAGGCTTAACTTCAAACCGCTTTGAGTTTTTACGCTCTATAATTCCCTAGTGACGATGTTTCCGAGATCATAGAAAACACATTTTTTAAATAAAACTATGATAAGACAGACAGCGATTGGTTTTATCAGGCTATCAAAATTAATTGAAGCAAACATTATACACGTACAGTGTCCCAGAAAACTTCATGGAACAAAAATTCTACACACCCTCCCTACCAAGATATACACCCTTAAGAGGCGCCGTTGAAAATTTTTATTAATTAGATTTTAAAATGCTTGCGAGATTTGATAATTTTTAATATGATAGATTCTAGTTAACGTCTCTGAAAATCGTGCCTTTGAAACTCAGTATGCTCTGTAAGTTCGCTAGGAACCGACCAGTTTGTACATATTAATATTCATTTTTGTAACACCCTGCATCGTAATAGCAAAAGAAAAATGTTTTTGGATAGCTTGATGGTTAAGCTAAAAAAAATTACTTTGGTTCGACATCGAGAAATGAACCGTTTTGCAACAGCATACCGTTTCAGTTCATCATGAAGTTTATCTATTTTTGCGCAATATCATTCGCGTGCGCGATAATGTATCAGAGTTGAAGACGCCCATGTCGAACCTACTTATACAATTTTTAATTAAACAATTAAATTATCAACTCATCACTTAAATTTTGAAAATAGGTTTAATCTAATTAAAAATGTATTACAATAGTAAGATTTTTCGGGAAAACGGTTTATTTTATCGTGACAAGAGAGTTTCTTTTAGTTTACAATTTAAGCTATCCAAAAATGGTTTTCCTATGGTATCATGATACAGGGAGTTAAAATATGACCATTAATGTGTACAAGGTGGTCGGATCTTGATGAGCTCAAACACCAAAACGAGTTTCAAATATTTTTAAGAGGCCTTCACTAGTATTTACTATATAAAAAACTTATTGAATTATAACAACTACTTCTGCGGAATTTTTTACAGGATCTTGCCCACATTTTTCGGGAAAATGATTGTGAAATTGTTTCGTATAAATACATCAGACTTT